GACAGGGGAAGATCAGAAGAGGCAGCCCTACCCCCATGACAGTGGCCGTGTTTGTAGAGGTTGCAGTGAGGACCTATAGCAGTCACAAGACAGGGGCTTCCCAGTCATGCTAACTGGGAACACAGGCCAGTGGAAAAGAACACTCTTCCCTTATTCATCCCACAAGCCCCTGGAGCTCAGAGCCTGAAAAACATGACACTAGTTGGTCCTCTGTCTCTTGGGCCTTGAGTTAGGTGTGACATTTTTGCACTATGACCAAGGCCTCCTTTTAAGAAAACAGGTGCATAGTAAGTGGTAGGAAACTCCTATCTGAGGATTAATAAAGGCTGGCCATGTTTGGCCTTGACTGAAAGCAAAGTTTTCTCTGAGCTGATTTATATTTAGTTTCCTTCTGTTCTTTACAATTGGTAAAACCAGCTCCAGCAACACTTCGTTTGAAGTATTTGAAGGCCACAAGAAGTGAAAAAGAGCGCAGGATTTAAAGCAAGAAGAACCTAGCTCAAGTCGGCCACTTATGGGGCTGTGTGCCCCTGGGCAAGGTCTTTTATCCTTTCTGAGTTTCAGTTCTTTTATCTGTAAAATGGGGATAAAAATATCAAGCTCTTATCACGAGCTTTTTGTAAAGGCTAAGGTTTTATGTAAATGGTAGTTCTTATTTTGAACTCATTGAGCAAGGATGTAAGATGTCCCTAAAATGATAAGTTGTATAGAAAGTGGCATTAACTGGAGTTTCAAGATGTGGATCACGCCCTCTCATGTGCTATTGCTTCTGCAGATCTCTCGTCGGCTGTCCTAGTCCCTTTTTACAGAACTATAACAAGGGAAAAGGTTACCTCTCTAACATTTTAGCAAATGCAGGAATCACCTCTCTTTCTTCTATTCCTGGCAGGGGTCAGTCACCCAGCTTGGCTGGAACATTCCCATCAAGTATACTGCCCCACATGGCATTCCATGCTGCTAGAAAACTCTGTGTCAATGAAATGTGAACAGATAATGTTAGGAAGATAAATGGGTAACATTTGTGAAAGTATTTGAACTCTTCAAAAAAAAAGACCCACACTGATTCCAGGGATTTTTGAAAAGATAATTGGAATTTAAAATAATGATATTTTGGTTGATTAATGCCTTTTCTGACTTTTTTTCTCTCCTGGCCTTGGGCTGAGAGAAAGGGTCCACAGATTTCTTTTTTTTTTTTAATTAATGGAAATAAGTAAGGTGCACAGCAGAGGCCAATGTGTAAATATGGTACCCCACCAACCATTACTGTGAGGTACACCACCCTTCCAACAAGCATCCCCAACCTCCCACTCAGGTGTGGGTCACAGCTAATCCTTTGCAGAGCTCAACACCCTGCACCCCCAACCAAACCAAGCCCATCTGTAATGCCCTCAAGTCCTAGAATAAGGGCCAACCAGGTGCTAGGGGCTATGCAACCTGCTGAGGATACAAAATAAAAAAAAGAATCCCTTCCTACAAAGAACTCCACTGGGGGGAAATAGATGCAAAAACAATTGATTATAGCCTAGAGAGGAACTCTGATAGAGGTGTGAGCCCTCACAAGGAAAACGGCTCAGTGTTCTCTAAGGGAGGTAGGGGCAGCTTCACAAAGAGGAAGACATGGAAACCAAATCTGTAGGAATAATAGCAATTCTCCACGTGAACAAAAAGGGAAAGAGGATTCCAATGAAAGGAGAAGGGTACCCAAAGTGATGGAGGTAAGTAAAGGCAGGGAAGGGTGCACAGAGAGGCAGTTCAGGGTAACCGTGCTTGGAAGGCACGTGGGAATGAACGCGCAGCAGGGATGCAGCCTGAGAGGGAAGGGAGGGACTAGGCCCCATCCGGTATGCCAGAGGGGAGGCTGGATTCAGCAGAAGCAGAGAGAGCCACTGAAAGGTATGGTGGTGAAGTGATGCTCAGAAGATGATGATGAGGCAGAGAGGAGAGGAGAACGCAGCTGGGGACACGGAGAGCCGAGGCCGAGGCACAGACCAGATGTCCCTGCAATGTGTGTGCACTGGGGGCAGGAACAACATGATGACCTATTTAAGCTAACATCAACCTTACATACTGCTTCAGCATCTATGGCAGAGCAACTGTTTCCAGAAGACGCCGAGGAAGGCTTAGGAAACACTTGGTTATTACTCTAAGGAATGGCAAACTGAACATTTTTGTGTGGCCCTAACAGTAGTTGTGACTAAACTGAGAAGTTGGTAAGTCAAAAGAGATAAGAGATCACAAGTAGGGCCCTTTGGTTTTGCCGGATAACTCAAATATTATGTACACCAGTAAAGGTTGAAGGTCAACTGACATGCGGAAGTTGAATTGATAACAAAGATCTTCTTGTCTTAAATCTTCTCTAGTCTTCATAACTTTTCACGTTTCAAACTAATCCTGAAGAATACATATTTCTTTTTTTTTCCAGCTTTATTGAAATATAATCGACATATAACATTGTGCAAGTTTAAGGTATACAGTGTGATGATTTCTTACTCATATATATTGCAAAATGTTTACCACATTAGTTAACATACTCTTTACCTCACATAATTACACTTCTGTGGTGGTGGTGAGAACATTAAAGCTCTCCTCTCATAACAACTCCAGGTATATAATACAGTACTGTTAAATATAATCACAATGCTGTATTTGGATCCCTGGAACTTAGAATCATATTCTACCAACTAAAAGTAATAATACAAGGCCTAAGGGGTGGGAAAAATCAGAACAGATGAAAAATTTGAGGAAGGTAACTAGGGCAGAGTAAGAGTGCCTTAGGATCAGAGGCTCTGCTATACAGAAAAGTAACTAACTGCAGAGGTCCTTGGAGGAATGACAGGTAGAAGATACAGGATAGTTGTAAACATACTGTTTACCTACCAAGAGAATTAGTACCTCACCATGTTTCATATCTCTGAAGATGGCTTTAAATTTGTTTTGAGTATTAGGCAATGCTTATAGATTATTATGGTTGCAGTCAGCAATAGGCCCTAAGCTAACAGGAGAGAACACCTAACCCCAAGGGGGTTAGAATGAGATTAAACAATAGGAACTGTACCTTTAGAAGCACAGCTGTAATGATTCTATGCTGTAAGAGAAAGTGCATACTAGTTTATCAGTTTGGAAAAAAGAGGAGTGAAACCTTAAAATTTTCAAGTTACAGAAGAGTAAGTTAGAATAATAAGTTAGTTCTAAGACACTGATCACATCATTTCTGTGGAGCAGAAAATGAAGATTTAAGTTTTATAATTCTTTTTAGATTTTCTAACTTGCCACTTGGTTGATTAAGCATTAACTCCTTGGGAGCTGGGATCCTTGAGGTCCTAGAGCCAGGCCCTGGGCAATGTGATGTAAAACTCTGTTACACTGGTCTTACTATCAGTATAAGGGCTAAGAGAAGTTGTTACTTTGTAACAATAGGATTATTATGATTTTATCACCAACCTCACAGGTTTCCATGCATATGATAAAACATCATTATGATGCTAGAGTACAAAATATTGCTAGTTTCATAACCAGAATGAATTATGGCTAATTGTCCTATACTAAGTAACCAGATTTTCAAATCTGTATTCCTCAGACAGCCAAGTCAGGCCTTGCCTTTCAAGTCATTTCAACAGGCAGTATGTCAGTGGACATCTGCGGTGCAGGGAGCACTTGGGGGCAGATCCCTTCTCCTTGCAGGGGGCAGGAGGGCAATGGGTGACATTGTTTCTAAGAAAAAAAGAAAATACATAATACTTGCTACTTCATTTTTATTATGGAATTCAAATGTTCTGCATTAATAAATAGAATGTTCTCTAATTTTTCAGTCTAAAAATCTTCCAAGATGCAACTACCCCTCATCCTTGGAAGTGCCAATTCCCAAGCATTTCTGTGCTAGCACAGAATGGTGCACTGATCATCCATCCAAGCGTTCATATATATAGTTTCTAATATTCCTGCCTCAACTCCCATAGCTTTATCTTGGCATTATAACCTGCCACATTTCTAGGTGGTTTTTGTTTTGTTTGGGGCTATTTTCTATGTTTATTTGTTGGATTTTTGTTTGTTTGCCTGTAAAATAGGAGGACAACCTCTTTGTACAACTCTTAAGACCCCCTTGCCTCCTTCTTTCTTCTTACAAGCTTCAGAGACGAGACAGAGTTGCCAAACTAATATTGAGACATGACCTAACTCTCAATACACAGTGCCATTTACTACATCGATAAATGTGATACCTGTGACAGTTACAGACCACGATAGCCTCAGTTCTCTAGCCTCAACTAGTGTTTTCAAAAATATGTTTAACAAACCTAAATAAGAATTCCAGGGGGAAAGATCAATTAAACTCTTTGTAAAATAAAAATTAAAAAAAATAGTAAAAGATTGTCCTCTGACTAAAATAGAACTTATTGCACTGACCCATGCTTTACTGCAACAATGACTTAAAATAAATGTCTGATATCTTGATAAGGGTGATGGTAACATGGGTGTATACACTAGTAAAATCCATTGATCTGTGTACTAAGATTTGTGCATTTTATTATATGTACCTCAATATTAAAAAGAAGAAGAAGAAGAAGAAATGTAAGGACTTAATTCTAAAATAACAGGGTAAGAAGAATGCTTATCATCTACAGAGTTCCAATATTCTCAGTGTCCAACTGGACAACCATTAAGTGTCTAGTCCTGGGCTTGACCCGGGAACCACTGAGGTAAAAGACAGAAAAAGTCCCTGAGGACTGAGGTGCCAGAAAATAGTATGGATACAATATGCCACATTCTGTGCATCACAGAGGGAAGCTCCGAGTGAGTGCTTAGGGGGGTTATTAGGGAAGACATCCTTTCACAAGAATCACTCGGATCATACAACTACATTAGCTGGAAAAATTGGGATGGGCACTGAATAACCCATACTGTGACTTACACGTTTTCAGCATCTTACAGAAATGTACAGGTATTTGTCTGTTTGTCAGTAAGTACTTTGTCTATTCACTCACTCACTGCTGGTTCTTCTGCAGAACACCCTGGCTAAAGCTACTGTGAAAGAACTTGCCACACTGCATGGTACCAAGTACACGTACGGCCCAGGGGCTACAACAATCTGTGAGTCTTGGCTTCACAACTGTGCAAAGAGACCACATCCTAAAAAGGCTACAAATGGATTCCTTTCTGATCATTGCAAGCACATGGCTTTTGCCTGACCATGAATTTTTTATAAAATATGCCATCAGTTTTCTGTTCAGCAAAAAAGGGAGAAAAAAATCCAATTCAACATTTTCTCTCTACAAACATCTATTGAGTATCTACTGCATTCCAGGCCTTCACTGGATGCTGGGGAGAAAGGAAGGAAAGATGGAGAGATGGACAAGGGGAGGAAAAAGGGGAAAAGAGGGGCCAGCACAGTTTTCAAAGAAGCCACAGTAGCAAAGCAGGAAAAGTGAGCATCAGGGAGCTCAGAGACAGGCAGACACACAGGCAAGAGCACACTCAAGCACACCCAACCCGCTGTGCAGTGTCAGGGGTGACTTCCCAGAACAATGACACAGAAGCTTTACCTGGAGGGAAAGTTCTGGAAGGAAGCATAAAGGAGTGTTTTTCTGGCTAAACAGGGCTACTTAAGCCTCAAGCCACTTGCAAGGGGTAATGTCGACCCCTCTGACCAGTCCCTTGCTGTGAGCAGGCAGGCAGCAAGAGACACATGGAGACATGGTGAGGGAATTAGGTAGGGGCTGACCCCCCAGAGTTTAGATTTCACGTAAATACTGAATTGGGGAGGCTCCAATCCTAAGGGTTTTTTAAGCTTCGTGAAGAATACTGTTTTCCGTATTCTTGTCCTTTTTGAAACTGCTTTCAATCAGATGGAGTCCACTATTGTCTCAAGGGTGTTCTAGCAGAAATAACCACCTATTCATATATTGTGAACTTCTTACATGTTTTATTCAGACTAGTGTAATGGGACTTCTTTTTCTATTACATTTAAGCTGTTGGAAGGCAGGGGCCACATCTTTCCTTTGTCCCGGTGGCATCGCCAGAGTTGAGCCCAGCGCCTGCTGTTAACTGAATGAGTAACGGAATGAACACCCAATCTATCCACACCACATGCTAGACCCTGAGGAAGCAAAAATGAAGACCCCACCCTGCCCTCAGGCTGCTCCAATTTCATTATTTAGCATATTTTCTACAGAGCTTGGAGTTCTTTCCTATCAACAATAATCATAGAGCTTTCCTTATTTTCCTAGAAGATAAATATTTTTCCCCAGAAATTATATTTTGTAAGCAAATTACATGCCTTTTAGTTTACCATGGCATACAAGCACAGTGACAAGTTTATATTATATTACACATTACATACCTCCTGGGGCATTAAACACATCATTCCCACTAAGTAGGTTTAGAGGTAAAATTGAACTAATTTTTTAAACAGCACCTATATCTCTTATGATCGAATTTTCTAGATAAGTGGCCTATCTATAATATTTTGCACAGTGAAACATTTCTAATTCTAAAAGGAAGCTGGCATTTTTTAAAATTTCCTGCCTAGATTTAAAGTGGTTTTCTAACTGTTATTTGTACATTTCAGATCCTGCTGCTGGGGGCTCTGACGACTGGGCTTATGACCAAGGAATCAAATATTCCTTCACCTTTGAACTCCGGGATAAAGGCAGATATGGCTTTGCCCTCCCTGAATCCCAGATCCAGCCAACCTGTGAGGAGACAATGTTGGCAATCAAGTATGTCGCCAACTACCTCCTGGAACATCTGTACTAGTCAAGAATGCTAAGAGCCTTATTTCAAAGGGCTCACTCTTTGTTTCTTTTCTATCCTGAATTCTTTTTTTTGCCTAAATGTTTTCCAAATCCCAATCTTTCTTTTAAGCTTCCAAGTCTATTAAACTAGTTGGATCTTTTAATATTGATCATAATAAAAGTGAATCATTGTAACTGGAAAATCTGACAGATTCTCTACTTCTGTGGGGGGTAAACGATGTAAACAAATAACTAATGAGCCACGTGATGATATTGGGTCAGCCATCCAGGAGTTAAAGTCCTTGGGGTGCTGGCCAAGACTGGCAGAGTGCAGAGATGCACAGGTTATAATGGGGTACTTGTGAGGAAGAAGAAATAGAAGGACAAATTCAGAATTATAAAACTCAGTATAGGTAAAAAGACACCACCTTGGTTTAGCTTTCAGCTTAGCCCATTCCAGTTATTTTGTAAACTGTCTACAATGCCAACCACTTTGTAAGCAACCGAGGACTTAGCAATGGAAAAGAAAAATAACATTTCTGCCCAAGGTTGTATAAGCCATGTAGGAAGACAGATACCAAACAAATAGTTCAATATTTAATTAATTATTTAATAATTCAGGATTGAATTGACATTAAGCAAGTAAGTGCTAAGCAAACTACATAAAAAGAACATAAGGAGGTCTCCCTACCTGATTTGGGGAGAAGACTCTCTCAGGAGTGATGAGACCTGACAAGTAAGTTACAAGCAGTTAGATGAAGGGAAGCACCTCTTTCAGGCCCTGTGACTGTTCTGAGCCTGGAAGAAGAAGGCAGAGAGTGTGGAGCTTAGAGAGTTGAGGAAAGGAGGTCATGAGTAGGGGCTGAGGAGGGAAGTGGGGACCACGTCAGGCAGGGCTTAGACACATGGTAAGGATTTGGAATACTGGTCTAAGAACAGTGGAAAGCCATGGAAGAGATTAAGCTCAAATGACATGATCAGAGTTCTTAAAACACCAACCGGGCTAAGGTGTGAAAAGCAGATTAGAAGTAAAACAAGAGGGTACCAAAGACCCTGGCTGCACCTGTTGGGCCTTAAATTAAAGAAACAAAAACCACCCTATAACTTGAAGTTTTTCAGAGTTAGAACTGAATATGCTAATGTTGGAAAGTATTGTGTAAGTCAAATTCTAAAATAATATGTATTTAGTCATAATTTCAAGGCATCTCTTACTTTAAAATCATAGAACAAAATATTACTTGTTCTTTTCTATGTGGATTCAAATAAAACAGAATTCTATATCTAGTAGGTTAGTATGTTTCATATGCTAAAATACTACTAACAATGTTACATCAAAAAATAAATCCTTCGAAATAACAATGCTTTGGAAGTTGTCAAGACAAAGAATGATTAACTGCATTAATTGTCCACTAGGTGGTAGTAGTGCAGCTGCTACAGTTTGTCCAGCAGTTATTTTCAAAGTAGTAATACATCAATTAACTAGGCAAACAGACTCTAAAGTACAAAAAAAAAGAATTCTTGTGAAATCTTAAGCAGTACTGGTGGAAATTTTTAAAAAGGGATGTAATTTAGCTAAATTTTCTCTCCCCCATTCTATTTACATTATATTCATGTTGTTAACTGGACAGCTACCTAAGTGAAGTTATTTTGCTGGAGGTATATCATTCATTTCACTGATAGTTCCACAGGACACTCCCTTCCCCTGGTTCTAGCAGGTTAACACTGACCTCTAATTAAGGGATGCTGTGGCCCAAAGTTCAGAAGTCATATGGGTAAAGCATAAAAAACCCTCCAAAGTCCCTAAATGGAGTGCTTTAAAACAAAAATTAGGAATATATATGGGCTTTTCAAAAATCCAGAGAATAAGGATGCAAACATGCAAATATTCTCACTTAAAACCCCATGTATGCAAGATTTCCTGCACCAGAGACATTTTTGCTATGTCTCTTGCCAACTGAAAGATAACAGCTAGTTGGCTAGAAGTACCACTTGCCTTAGCTAAAGGGAGAAAAGACAGAAAGAGGAGTCTTCTTTAATGCTTCCTCATGCAATAGTACTGTATGCCTTACTGCCTGGTTGACCAGAGTGCGGAGGGTCCCTGCCCAGCCTTCCCCGCCCAGGAGCCCCTGGATGTAAGGGCACCTCTCCTCCTCCCTCTTAATTTACTGGCACACTGAGAGCCTAGGACAGGCTCTGAGTCCTTCCTCAGTCCCAAGATTTCATCTCCCCAGAGCAGCAATTAACCAACCACACCGGAATCTTTCCTGTTTCAAACAGTATTATAACAAAATAGCAACCAGTAGTCCAGTCTGGAATATGGGAGCTCTACTCAGCCAGAATCCCATCCCATGTATTCATCTGCTTTTTCCAGGTTATGACGGGGTACATGTGAGGAAGAAGAAATAGAAGGGCAAATTTAGAATTGTAAAACTCAATATAGGTAAAAAGACCCCACCTCAGTTTAGCTTTCAGCTCAGCCCATTCCAGTTATTTTGTGAACTGTCTACAATGCCAACCACTTTGTAAGCAACTGAGGACTTAGCAGTGTGTTCAAGAAATGGTCTATATGAGTTGGTCAAAGACAAGTTCAGGAATAGAAGGAAGACAGGAGGAACCAGGACAGTTACAGAGGTTATTTGGGGGCCAAATGAGGTCTGGATGAGCCTCTTAGGTGATCGCACCTGAGCAGGTAGTCACTCCCCCTCTAGCCAGGTCAGACACTGCCTGAATCACACACCATGTCTTTGTTCAGAAATGCCATCACTCTATCAATAAATGAAGACAAGTTTCTCTGCCACATTTTGCAGGGCAGATTCATAACAATGTTAGAAACCCAATATCCACAACTAAAAGCAAAAAACTTTTCTTTCAATATATCCTTTCTGAGACAGCTAAAGGTACTCCAGAAGTTTATTGGATTCAATTTAAAGATAGAGAATTATTTGAAAGATTCTAGTGAATCACAAAAGAATTTTCATTTCCATTTTACAGGACACTTCTTTTAAAGTGATACTATTTGAAAAATAGGCAAAACGGTTTAAAAAATAAGTGATATTTTAAACTGGGGCTAGATAGACACTACCACAAAAGTCCTAGAATGCAAAGATCCAGAAAGATGGAAAATTATTGCCATGTGAAGCAGTCAACTTTAAATCTCTTTTTAAAGACATAATTTTATCTATCAAGCATTACAATGTCTTAAATAGCCAGCCTAAAATGATATGGTACCCAACAACTATTCATCCTTCTCCATACATATGCCAAAGCCCTTTATAAATCTTGATTCAGTAATATAAGATTGCACTACACTATGCCTGCCAAGATATCATAGCTGTTCTGAGAAAAAGTTCCAGAATATTCTTGAAATTCATCTATTGTAAAATTTGTTCCTCAGAGGATAGATAGACGGGAGGAAAGGGAGGTCTTAAAAGCATCACTTGTTTCTCCTATTCCAGAAACAGGGAATGTTGTCAATATGCAACAAATGTTAAGAAGTCAAAGATGATTTATCATCAGAATCTTGCCCGAAAGATACGAGAATCTTTTAAACATTTACTTAGATCCCCAAAAAAAACCAGAAGTGTCCTTCCTAATTGACCTGAAAACAGACACAGAAGCCTTCTCTACACTGTCTTTGTGGCACAGAAAAAGACTTAAAGAAAATATATCAGAATGTTAGAATTAAGGGTGATTTCTATTACCTTCTTTCAACTTTTGTGTATTTTGCTAAATCATTTTCACTGGGCATTATTACCTTTACAAGCAGAAAATAAAATGCCAAAAAGCAAAGCCATAATATTAAAAACTTTTTCTTGAAGTAGTCCACATTAAAACAAATACAGAGATATTCCACCCATAGCCACACTTTAATCTACCACATGAATATACTGATATTCATCAGTTCTGCAGCCTGACCATGGCCAACTGTAAGTCTGTTTACAGAACCTGACCATTTTATCAACTGCCTAGAGGGCACAGGCATGCTTTTTAGTAACCACCGTTCACCAAGTCCCTTATACATGCTGTTTCACCTAGCCCTCACAGCCACCTATTAGAGTGCCATTTGCATCCCTGTTTTATAGATAAGGAATCCTAGATGCAGGATGATGAGGCTGCCTGCTCAGAGTGAGTGTTTGGGAGTCACTCTGAGATTCCAGCTAACCCCAAAATCAAGCTCTTCCTTTTCCTCTGCACCCCAGCAAAAAACACGCTTAGAAGCAATGGGGCATTTGTTTTGAGAGTTTCTAGCATTGATAAGCTTGTCCACTGTCAAGAACATGAAAGCATTTGTAAAACCCTCTTCCTCTTACCTGCAGGGCTGGCAAGGGGAGCGGCCTGGGGGAGGTGTCCTGTCACACGCCTGTTGGGTGCAGAGGAATGAAGCTAGGGCAATGCACATGTAACAGGGGCATCTCCCTGACAACATTATTTTGATAATAAAAATATACAACCATGACTGTGAGAAGTTTCAAAGATGACCGTGTATACATTAGTGAATGGGAAGAGAGCATTTTCAAAAGGAAATGCTAAAAAGTTATATGATTAGGTAAATTCACCCACTTCTATAGGTTACATATAATTCTGGGTTAAGGGGTTGCCTTCTCTCAAATAATCTGTGATTAACTGAGTTGTGTTGAAGACTTAAAGACCCCTCAAGAAATTGCTTAAAATGGTCTATAAAATGACTTATTGTTCATTCAGCTTTCAAAAAGCATTTATTGGGCACTTAAGGCATCCAGACCCTGAAGAGAGCAGCCAACGAACAAACCTCTGATCAAGCATACCGTCCTGACCCCAGGAGCTCTCTGGCTGCTTCTGGAAGAGGGGTTCCCACTGAGGAGGAGGGAGGAGAAGGGGAAAGCTGAGGGTGACGTGAGTGCTTTAGCTCTTTCTTTACAGTGAAAATACAGCAAAAAGCTCTTTCTTGACAAGAAAAAGGCAAAGCAAATAAGGCAAAAAATATAAAATCTACATGGTGAACACATCCATGTTTTCCAGATTACTTACGGTGTTTTTAGTATACCCAAAATATTTTTTAATTTAAATGTTTTAAATTTAACAATTTGCAACGTGGCTTCACAAATGAATTTTATGTTAAGGATCACGCACCAAGGTTGTATTACCAGATACCCAAATTCATCTCAGGTTCCAAATGCAAATTTAAACTGATTCCTTCCATCATTCAATTCAAGCAAATGGTAGAGCAGCATTTTAGAAAAAAGAACTGGGTTCAGATCTCAACCCTGTGAATATACTAGCTCTGCTACCTTGGGCAAATTACCTACTAAAAAAGGAATCTGCCTCCCATATTATCTGTAAAATGGGTATTTCTGATTGTACAAAGCACGTGAGGAACATGGCATTGTGTCTGCCACAAACTGGGCATTTAGCATTGTGTTGCCCACCTGCCCCCCACTCTCCCCAACGATAAAGAGCAGGAGGAAGAAATATCTGGCTCACCAGAACCCTAAGAGGAAATCAGCTGCTCATCCAGATAAGAGCCGAAGCATAAAACTGGAAGAGGGTCTTGGGGCAAGCAGAGAACCATGTGGTTCATCCTGCCCGTGGGTTTGATGGCTACCACCATTGCGATTGCTCCTGTCCACTTTGACAGGTAAACCTCACTGCCCTGTGTGTGTCCAGGATTACAGTTCACATTTTCCATGTTTTGCATTCTTAAAGGGAGAAGGTGCTGTGCGTGAAGCCCCAGGATGAAAAACAAGAAAACATTATAAAAGATTTGGCCAAAACCAACCAGGTAAGGCATTTAGGAGGATAATTTACCTTTTATTTCTGTTACCTAAAGCCTGCTTCTTCTGTATTTTATTTTTAAAGCCCACAGAGCTACCAGAGACAAAGACAGGGGCATGTAGCAGGAGATACTTGGGAATTCAGCCAATTGAAGCAAGATGCCACTTTCACATCTGTCAGGGCCTCTTTCCCTCCGTGCTAGTCTCTGGCCCACTCCATTCTCACTCTCACCCTGACCTCCACGTTCTGTTAAAATTACAATAACATCAAGGTACTGGCTGACTGGTAGCATCAAGGTACTCATTGATATCAAGATGTAGTCCTTCCAAAGAGTGGATCCATTTTAAAAGGAAACAAAGTTAGATCAGTTTTGTAAAAATTCAACAGGCTAACATAATCATTTTATCATTTATTCACCTGCTCCTGTACACAAGGCATACTGCCAGCCACCTTACATACATCATTTCAAATTTTCCAACAAATTTTCAATGACAGAGTCATAACTTAACCCATTTAAGACAAAAGAACTGGGTTCAGATCTCAACCCTGTGAACATACTAGCTCTACTACCTTAGGCAAATTATTTACTAAAAAAGGAATTTGCCTCCCATACTATCTGTAAAGTGCATATTCCCAATTGTTCAAAAACAGTAAATTAAATGACCAAGATGACACATCAGATTTAAAACCAGAACCAAGTCTAGGCTTTATTCTAGCCACACACACCCTTAACTTCACATCAAATCAATCAAAAGTTCTGCCTATCCTCATTGCCAAGTATAGCTCTGTGGTCTTAGGCAAGTTACTTAACCTCTATGCATCTCAACTGCTTCCTCTATAAACTGGGGATAATAATCATACCTACCTCTTATGCTTGTTATAAAGACTAAGTGAGATAATATTTGGGTAACAGTCAGAAGTGGGCATTGCCATAATAAGCACTCTAGAAGCTTCTTCTATTGGTATCGCTGCGGCATTTGCAGTCCTTCAAGATCTGCCAAACTGCCAGCCTCTGCAGGCTCCTGCTCCCCCACCCCCTTTCTTGCCCTTTGAGCTCCATAAACACCAAAAATTCACCCACACTGGCCTCGCACACATTCTGAGGGAGGAATGCATTGCCTTTTCTACTTGGCTGACACCTTATTCTTCAAGACCCAGCTCCGGCAACGTCTCGTGCAGGAAGGCTTCTCTGTCCATCGACTCTCATGACCCAGTTTAAGTTGATTCTTGTGCTCCTGCAACACCTTGTACTTGCCCCTGGCATGGGTCAGCATGTTGGGAATGCACAGAAGGCTCTCTCTCCCACATTAAAAATGCTTCTCGTAAGTCTTTTGTTAGCCTCTACAATGCTGACACCCAGCTCTGTGCCTGGTGCTTAATAAATGCTCATCAAAGTTCACTGAGCCCTAAACTTTTGCTCCCATTACCCAATTAGAACAGAGAAGTTGCTAGTATGATTATATGGCCCTGCCTAACTTGCCTTTAAATCATACTGTATCTCACATATCTCCAATTCATGCTGTAACTATAGCTTTTTGATCAAAATAAACCAATAAATCTTGATTGGCTCATAGCATCTCATATCAGCACATAACTGATTAACCCAGAGGTAGAGTGGGATTCACCTACAGAACAGTCTGGCAGATTTAGATATATGCCTACAGGAATGGTGTGATGGGTGGAAATTGAGCGTTTCTTTCACATTTCCCAGGCTGGGCAGCTGAACTTCATTTGGTTTCATAATAGAGTATGATTTTGAACAACAAGAACTTGAATCTTCTCAAAATTGTATTAATCTGAAAGCTATCCTTCTGGGCCCATTCACCAAATTTTTGAAATTCTCAGCTACAGGAAGAAAAATAGCAGGGAATCAGCAGTAATTAAATGCCTGAATGTCCCAGACCTCAGACCCATTTCACAGTCTTCACAACACTTCCAATGGAGTCCTGTAAGCCCCAATTTTTAGAGGACATAGCTGAAACTCAAAGAGTATTAGTAATTTGCCAAAGCGCACACTGCTAGAAAAACGACAGGACTGGGATTACACCTACTATTGACACAAACTTGCCAGGAATTCCAGAGTTTACAGGGACATCTGGTTTTGAGGACTGGATGCAGTGTGGGGCGAAGGCAGGGGAATATTTTTAATCATGTTCCCAATTACAGAGAGTTGCTCTGACTAAATCTATTAAGAAAAACCCCATCAATCCCAAGATGGTGGAAACAAACAGATTAACCAAAAGCTGCTCATTTTTTTGCATTTACAGACACCATATCCTGAAAAAGTGACCAGGGCAGATGGTTTCTTTCCCATCCCCTAATATTCAACAGTTCTTACATATATTTGCAAAAAGCTCATAAGCTTCTTAAAAGAAGGGCCCTTACCTTAGTCAAATTGAACCCTAAATTCCTTTTGTGATGTATGGTACATAGCCTAACAGATACGTGTTGGGTCAGCAAATAAACCACTGTGACTAACAACTTATCTCCACAGTTTGACTTCTGGTATCCAGACACCACCCACCACATAGCTGCTAACGTGACAGTCGACTTCCGAGTTAGTGAAAAGGAATCCCAATCCATCCAGTCTGCCTTGGAGCAAAATAAAATGCACTATGAGTAAGTCCTATGCAAATAATCAAATGTGTCAGATATTCATACTTTGGGAGTCTTGAAATTGATAGGGAAGTACTATTTTTTTAATTGGACCAAAGTTCACTCTGTGAGAGACAATTTACAGTTCCAAACAGACTATTGAAGCCTGCTAATGAGATAAAGAGATCAAAAGTGGCCACTCCACTGCATCTTATGTTTGCTCTGATCTACAAGAATAACAATTACCTACATCTGCCATCTCTACAAGCCAGCCCCTGGTAAGGACTGAGTGCATGTGAGCAGGCACAGATGGCTTGGCCACACTCACCCCAGGCAGGTAATCAGCCAGAGCTCAGGTGCTACTGGTGACTTCCACCACATTCTTGTATTTGAAGTCTTACGATACATAAAAGGAGACCTAAATAACAGTGCTCACCTTTGAGATGTGGGAATATAAAATATATACTAAATAAAGAATTCTCTATGAAAGAAATTCTTCCTCAGAGATTGCAAAAACAGTGCAATAGAATAAGACCTAAATCCAACAGGAGAGAATTCTCAAATGGCCAAAGATACAGAAATGAGTCCTTATGGTCCCAGAGAGAAATAAGAGGAAATCAGAATTTACTGAGCACCAACCATGACCAGGCACATCTGGGCCCTGGGGCAATGAAGCCCAGTGATGAATATCACAAATCAACACATAATCTAGAAAACAAAATTGGTTTTCATACTTTGAAACATTAGTAATTTTCTGTACTAAGGGGTCCTCTGCCAACTCCCCCAGCCTTGTAACCCCAGAATTTACCTTTACTGAGATCTTCACTGCTCAAAACACTGCTAAGCACTAGTTCTTTCTCACTTGCTATTTCATGCCTACCTGCTACCTAACTTATTGCTAAAATTCAAAAGGCCTCCTCCTGGCTGGGACAAAGATCCTATAATGTCATATTTCAGAGCGGTAATTTACTGCCACTCATCACAATTTGATTGTACTTATGATACTGTTATAATAGCCTTCTTAAATATAAACTCTATTGAAATTAAGGAAAGGCATGCAAGACAAGTAAACAAAAATGCATTCTTTTTCCTGGCTTAATGGCTTAAAAAGTAGCAGGCTATTATTTGTGGTTGTTGTTTATCACCATGTTTTTGCTGTTTTTGCAAAGGGTTGTGAAACAAATACAGAAGTAAATAAATGGAGAGAACGTATTCAAAATTAACTTATGCCAGCTTTTAACCCTTTCTAATTAATAAATGGATGTATGCTTTTCTATTGTTTTATAAATTGTTAGAAATAAACAAGTTATAAGTATACCTACAAGACTGCAGAAATTAGTAGTGTGTTAAGGACTCTGCTTACCCCAAGGTTCAGCTGATATTTCAATTCTTTCATCTAAAAGAAATCTCCCCTCCACCCTATCTACCCCTTGGTGACTATCTTGATTTACTTCACAGCCAGGTTTTTCAAATGTATTGCTTCAATTATGACTTCACACTCTTCATTTTACTTCATTAATATAGACCTGACCCAGTTCTTTGTAAGAATTCAGCTAATTCTTACAAAATACCTAGCCCAAGCTAAAATAAATTTTAGCTGGCCAATTTTATATAATTTGTTTGAACAGCAAGGTAAAAATGAAGTATTATGTTTTCCTAAATATCCTGGTAATATAGACCAAAAAGCTAGTTGCTTGACATGGATGTGGATAGTAGAATAAATGACTGTGACAGAAGAGACCTATGCAGGTGGCATCAAATAGGTCCCATCAGCCCCCTGCCACCCCCTTCCCACTTTGGTCCTCTAGGTTTCTCCTAGCCTGAAACAATTCTGACTCAAACAGGTCTACATTCAGATCCTCACAAAAAGTGTGTTTTTCACTTTGTGTTATGCCAAGATACTTCCTTGCTATTTGCATCAACAACGAAAGTGTTAAACTACCTATAAAAATTAGTTTATCTAATTAGGACATGATTTCTAGAAATTGGCTCAAATTAGCCACAGTTGTGGGAAAGCCACATAATTAAATAGTTACCTTCCTCAGAAATATAAATATGTAAAGTGATCTATGCAGACAAGAACTATTTAAAATCTTGTCTCCAAGTACTAATTATATAGATAATTTTATTTGCATATTAATTATATGTGTTACTTCATGTCAGTCAGTAACAGAAGAGGGCTCTAAGAACAGAAACATCTGGTTGGACCCAGGCACTAGCCTGAATAAAACCACATTAATAGGCTGGTTTGACACAATGATTTACTTAGACACCCTTCATTAGACAGTGCATATAAACCACTATTTAGTTTAAAGCATCTGTGTGTGACATATTTTAATTTTCAGAAAATTAAATTACTAAGATTTGATTTTAAAGTAGCATGTTTGTTTCCTCTTTTTTACACTTTTACAAAATCATAAAAGGCTAAGTCCAAAAAAACAAATAATATGTATATACTAACATACATGAACAGACTGGTAAATAAGTGTCTGAAGGGAAGGAAGCACATACATCAGACTGTGCCTAAAGAAGCAGAAGCCATATTTAGACGGAGCAGTTAAAAACCCCACTGTTCGTACTAATTTTTAGATATTTGTATTTTAGACATTTTAGATTATCTTTTCTTTGATCAAAAGATAAATTAGAAAATAAAGAGTTATCAATGAAAGGAATTCAGAAAACTATTAATATAATATAACTCAAATGATACAATTAAGATCTTATTAAATCAACATAAGATTATGTGAGAAATGCAAAAGAGATCTATACTAAGCTGAAACAGTGATCAACACTTCATATTAATATCTAATGACCAATATAATGTTTAGTCAGACACAAATTCATACTGCAAATATATACACAGTCCTATCACATAAGTATTTCAATCTAACAAATCATTCTCTTGACTCATCCCATTCATTTTTCCTTCTGCTCTACATTTTTATGTATTACTTGCCCAAGAGTACAACAGGTTATGACTTCACACTCTTCATTTTACTTCATTAATATAGACCTGACCCAGTTCTTTGTAAGAATTCAGCTAATTCTTACAAAATACCTACCCCAAGCTGTTACAAATGTCAGAGATGTTGGTCATGGTGGAAAGCAGAACTCCATGACACATAAGAATGTGAATTTCAGAGTGAGGCTGTCTGGGTCCAGTCCAATTTAAACCATGCATTAGAATTTTTTGGGGGGTATCATTAATCTACGATTACATGAGGAACATGTTTACTAGGCTCTCCCCTTCACCAAGTGCCCCCCACAAACCCCATAGATATTTAACATTGAAAATTTATTTAACTTTTATCCACCTCATTTTCATCATCTTTAAAGTAGTGGTTCATAGAAGCTTCATGAAGACTGGGACCATAAAATCATTCTCTGCCAGGTTTCTTTACTACTACAAGAAGAGGAAAACCAGTTATACAAATGCTTACATGAGTGCATGCATGCACATGCACACAGTCACACACACACACACGGCGCAACAGAGGATAGCTAGAAGCTATCACCAGATGCTCTCTTTCCCTCTTATTGAATAAATTAGTGCCTTAACATTTATTATCCAACACAAAGGTATGACTCAAGTGTTGGGAAATCCATGTCAATAAATGTCGAGTTTGATACATGGTAACCCATTTAGGGAGCTACTAGAACAAATGGAATCTTGTATAAACTGGAAATCATGCTTTTTGAGTAACCCCCATCCTGCTGGTGTGCAGGCATGGGGAAAAGGGAGCGGTCCAGACCAGCCCATAAGGCACCGTCAGAGTGACTCTGCCTCCCTTCCCCAGGGCGCACACATACACACACACTGAGTCTGTGGCAGTTGTATACACTGGCCCAAAGTTCTCCATTCCTTCTTTGTTACTCTCTAAAAGTAGCAGGAGGGAGCCTTGAAATCATCAAAATAGAATTCATCTTGCCTCTTCCCTAAATTTCTTACCTGCTTTCTGACCTTGGTTCTGACAGGTTATATTGATACCTGTTACAAATGTCACAAGACTTCCCAGAGAGCTGGTCATATGGGCAAACTTTGCACAAGCCTTACTGCACAAGAAGACTAACTACAAGGCTGGGGACAGTACACAAGGATTTTGCTCCTTGTGATGGAGGCATTGTTTTATAACGAATGGTTCACAGCTAGAGTACTGAAGCCAAACATCTCTAGGTTCAAATACCAGCCACCATATTTTACCAGTTGTTTCAGCTTCGGAAATCTACCTAACCTCTATAAAAATGGGGATAATAATGTACCAATTAGTAGTGTTGATGTGAGCATTAAATGATAATATGTAAACACCGTGTTGAGCAGAATGCCTGGCACATATGAAAAGCTCAACAAACATTAGCCATTTACATTATTAAATAATTGTTTATCCTTTCACCTACATTTAGGAATTTATTTTAACAAATTAAGCAAATCTCAGAGTGCCAAAATAATGTCTGAGAGAAAGTAATTTGGTTTCATCTGCTTAAGACTGGCTGCTGGTTCATGCAAGGGCTCATGAAAATAACATCTGGCCCTAGTTCTTAATTTCCAGCCTTAGGTTTAATTTCTAGTCCCTATCAGCAACAATCTGGCATGGTTCTGATGCCCTCATGCAGCTGCTTTGTGGAAAAGTCGTATTTCAGCTCACGCGATTTTCTTTTGCTGCTGTTATCTCAAGATCTAAATTGATATGTGTAAGTCTAAAAATATTCTTAGATTCCAGCTTCCTGTGACTAATACTGCCTTAGGCTACAAATCAACCTCTGCAACCATAAAATTTCTCTTTCACCTCATTCCTCCACTTCTATTAATGCAGACTGAGCAAAAGCCACGTGCAGTTCTTTGGAGCTTAAAACAATTAATTATGTCTGTAATGACCACCCAAAATATAATTTCCAACCTTCTCAGGCCTTGTATGAGTTTTACTACAAAGGGTCCCACCTGATTCCAAATTTGTTGTCACAATGTTTTTTCTCAGAAATCCCAGGTTTATCGTAAATCAAAAGCCAAGCATAGAGTTAGATATAATCTGCATAATAATGTGCTTGTCAGTGAAGTTAATGAAAATCAATATTCATGAGCAGTACTTGGTCTCATGTGCTAAAAAATCTCTAATTAGAAGTATACCTTCTTTATATTCTGCCTCCAAACTCAGATCAGTTAGTCAATCAGCAAGAAGGAACCAAGAAGAGTGGGCTCTGTCAGTGTCACAATTCATTATGACAGGAAATGTAAGAACTCAGAGTCAAACAACCACACACTACCAAAGCCTGGTTCAAAGATATGCTAGTCTGTGAAGGAGTCCTCAATTTTGTGACAGAATTATTCTGAGGTTCACTGGGTGCCTATGGCTCGCCAGTCACTTCCCATCTTCCACTTCATTTCATTCTCATCACAATCCTGGCTGGCATGGTTGGTCCCATTGTAAAAGTGAGTAACTGAGGTTCAGAGAAGTAGTTAACCCACCCAAGGTAACACTAAGCATTAAGTAGCCAAACCTGGGTTGGAACCCAAGAGTGTCTGACCACAGAGCCTCTTCCCACTAAATCACTGCCTCCTCATTTGATAGAATTTATCGAAGTGAAAGAGTGCATGAGACTTTCCTAAATGACTAGAATGAATGCTAAATAATAGACAGCATCTTCCCATCTAGGACTTACTGCTAACAGTAGGAAAATACATAAGCAACAAAAGGTGGGTAATGCCTTTTTTACATGGAATCAATAGGATATAAGATAATCCAAATGAGGAAATTTTCAGAAAAGGACAACTTCAAAAAATCCATTATTTTAAATATTCTCACTGAAGCTACAGTGCTCTACCCTGCAAAATGCAGTGCACTGAATACAGGTCATGCTTGGTTGAGAATGTAGCATTACCAACATGCCTGCGTGCCATGCTGTAAGACAGTAATAACCTCAACAGTTATTTAAGTCACTAAAATATACTGGCTTATTTGGATTGACACCAAAGGACCACTATGACATCAGTGTTTGCTAAGTCATGTTTATGTAGCTTTATTTCTTTTTTCTGCTGTCAGCTACCACCTATTGATAGTATGCTTGCTTCCTGCGAGTCATTTTCCCTGTATCCAAAGCATTCCTTCTAGGTTAAACAAGCTTTTTATAAGTGTATCTAAAATAAGTTGAACAATATTTTCTGTGAGGGTGTTGGTAAATCTATATATGGTTATACCATAGTGTTTAACATATTAAGGAACCTAACAACAAGTTTTATTACAACCATACATCAATGGGCAATAATAATTTGATCCTTTCAATAGAGCCATATGAATCTCAAAATGGCAATCAACAGTATATACTTAATGGTAAAAGACGAATTTTCTTGTTAAAACCAAACGAAAAAAAATGCCTTCTTTCACCACTATTATTTTCCACTATTTAGAGTTTTGTCAATACAATAAAGGGGGAAAAAACAGCTCTTGGAGAAAAGTTTGCAAATACAATTTTTTGCAGAATATACAGAAAGCCCTAAAGACATAACTAAAAAAATCTTAGAGTAAAAAAATCATTTTTAAACTAATAAAGTGGTTAACAGATAAGTATAATCAAAGCATTAAGTTTTTTAATATATGAATAATAAGCAGTTCATATGTTTAAGGGGGAAAAAGCCACTCACAAGAGTAATAAAAAACACAATGAATAAGCAAAAAAATGAAATTTTACTGAAGAATCTGAGGCACCTATTTTATGGTCCATTATTAATTATAAGATTCTTCTCAAATTTATTCATAAATTGACATAATTCTAATCCAAAGCCCATTTTTTTCTCTAACAATTCCATTAATTTCTAAAATGATTCTGACAAAACATTTATTAAAAACAGGTGAAATTCCTAAAATTTTGTAAAAAGAATGGAACATTTTACTAAAGACTAAAATTCAGTATTAAAACTATAGTTAAATATGGTTTAGTTCTTATACAAGAATAGGAAAACAGATCAAAGGAGCACAATAGAAAATTCCAAAACAGACAAAATACACAAAAAAACTTATGCATCTGATGACAGTGGCATTTTTTAAACATAAATGTTAAAGTCAGGCATACTTGCATTCAAATTCCCAACTCCACCACACACAGATTGTGAGGATTTAAACTTTTTGAGCAACAATGTCCCCATATGTAAGATAGTGATAATATTAGCAAGATAATATAATGTATGTAAAGCAGCAGCTGGCCCATATTAAGCAAATAGAGGTCCAAGTGAAAACGGCAGGCCGTTGCATGTGCCAGCCGCAGGAGAGGCGGAGGAGTGGTACGTTCAGGGAGAGTCCAGGATTAAAGATACGAATATGGGCAACCATCAGCTCACCATTAAAGCCATGGTTTCAATGAGATGATAATTCAAGAAGAGATGAAAATACAGCAGAGGGTGGAAGTATAAGCCTTCTGGTCCCCAACATTAGCCCCCCAATGATTCTTCCTGCATCTCAGTTCTCCTCCTCCAAACCAGCCTACCCATTTTCTAGCTCTATAACCATGGGCAAGTTATTTAAACACTTTGTGCCTCCATTTTCTCATCTGCAAAATGAGGATATTAATCTCATGTGAAGATTAAATGAGTTAATGTACATGTGATTTGATCAATGACTGGTTCATGGTGAGTGCTTACTGTTAGTGTTATTACTCAAGTTTTCTCTCAGCTTTCCAAGTGCAAGATGGTCAGTATATTTGTGCATAAGAATATCCATTGCTGCTCGTGTTGTGTGTATGTGAATATGTGTGCTTTGGAGAAAGTTGGGGAGTGACAGAACAGTGCTGACCAATATCAATATAAAGCAAGCCAGTGTGCAATCTTAGATATTCTAGTAGCCACACTTACAAAGTAAAAAGCAACAAGTGAAACTAATTTTACCAATATATTTTATTTAACCCAGTATATCCAAAATATTACTTCTAAATGTAATTAATATAAAACTTATTTGCGAAGTATTTCACATGACTCTATGCTAAGTCTTCAAAATCCAGAGTAAATTTTACACATCCAGAAATCTCTATTTTTGGACAAGTTCTATTTTTTTAAGTGCTCCATAGCCATGTGTGGCTAGACTACCATGTGAACAGCCCAGCTCTACATAAATGGGAAGATCTGAAGCCAGACACATGACATGTCTAAAAAGGATAGTTGGAGTGTAATGAAGAAATGGGGCAAACTTGATCTAAGATAGAGAAAAAGGAAGAGAAATTTTCTGTAAGTGAAAGGTAACTTTTTCTTTCTGTGGTAAATGTGTATTTTATCATTTTCCTGTCAAACAGAATATTGATTCATGATCTGCAAAAAGAGATTGAGAAACAGTTTGATGTGAAAGAAGATATCCTGGGCAAGCACAGCTATGCAAAATACAATAACTGGGACAAGGTACAGAATAAAATGCCTGTATTTTAAAAAGAAATGGTACCTTCAACATTTCTTGTCATTTAGTTTTCTCTCATTCAAATTCCTCAAAATTGGTTTTGTTAAGATTGTTGCTTGGATGGATAAAATGGTGCAGAAGTCCTGAAATGGTCTCTTGTATTAAGATTGGAACTACTGTTGAAGATAACCCACTATATGTTCTCAAGGTAAAAACAATTTAAGAACTACTGATTCTTATTACTGCTGAAAAATATGAGTTCAAAAGTTACTCTGTGACACCATTAGCTAATTCTGATATAATAAAAAGTCTTATTTTTTTTGAAGAACATATTGTAAACACCCATTCAAGAACAGAAATGACAGGTGGTTTTATATGGAACCAAAAAAATCCCTGAGTAAACCATTTGTCAGACACAGTGAGCAAACCAAGACCGGTATTTTGTCCCATATCTTTATTATAAGAGTTTATGATGTCCCTGATGTATGAAGCAGTTTTCCACCCATTAAAACTCAGTGAAACTGATGTCTAAATGTCATGAAGAGACATTTAAGTATCACAGAATCATAGGATCCCGGAACAGTAAGTGGGGCACTTCCACCTGTTATTGACGGAGAATTCCCTTCTATAACCAGGCTGACAACTGGCATTCAGCTGCTGCTAATTTTTACATCCTAAGATGCTCCCTGACGCATCCCCTTACTACCTGGGAAGCCCTTCCTTACCCTGAATTCTCATCCACTCATCCTCTCCAACCACCCAAAACAAATCAAAACTCTCTTAAAAATGACAGTCCTGCAAATATCCAGCCACTATTCCTCTTCCCCTCTGCAAACACAACTACAAATTCTTTTCCATTTCAGGCTAAGCATCCTGTTTATGAAGCCAGAAAAATAATTATTTTGTGACTTTAACTCTAAAAGCAACTCTGACCCTAATAAAAAGTTTTGAAAAATATACTGTGTACTAGATTATGAATTGTGTATAGACATGTAAGGATATGGTCCTCCCTGAGAACAGTATGTGCATAAAAAGTTACTCACTCAACAGGGGACGGGGGAAAGAATTGCCTTGAGAATATGAATGAGTTATTGGACAAAAAGGGATCAGTGTGTGAGTTCATGCAAAATAGCATCTCAAGTCTATTTTTAAATAGATTGGGACAAAAGAAGAAAGAAGAAAGGCTATTTTTATGGATTGTGGCATTCATGCACGAGAATGGATCTCCCCAGCATTCTGCCAGTGGTTTGTCTAGCAGGCAAGTGAATTGGAACACACACAATTCTCCTTCCATTGTCAAGTCTCCAGCACTTCACTGAGCGGCAACACCCCTTTCCAAATGAGTGCAGTTCCACTTACCTAGAAAAGCCCACATCTGGTGCCATCAGGAAATAAATGCTCTGGATTTTACTCATCGTTGCAGTTTTTATAAAATTGACACCTTCCTTCAAACTCCTTGACTCCAGCTGACAGTTTATAAAACTAAAAGAAATTTTTTTTAGCTATAATATGGATTTTCCTATATTTAAATAAGAAAAATCTGAAACTATCCATCTTATAACCTACAAATGTGGTCTTTCTTCAATGAGCTCAGAGTACAAACCTTTAGTTCCTGTTTAAATACTTAATTGGCCATGAATGCACTTAGAATTTTCCTACTTAAATTTCCTTTCTAAGTGAAAAATAACTCACTTTTTTTTAAAGGCAAATCCAGTATATAAATTTGTTCTTCTCACTCCACTGTATTCTGACCCCTACTATCTTTTAATTTTCCCTTTGCCGCCAGCTTTTTGCACACAACATGCTGATGGAATATGCATGGCAATGGCTTTCTGGGCACGTGTACTCTCACTAGGAATGAATCTTCCAGGGGACTGATTAATCCTGCGGTGTTTTAGCTCTTCAGCTGAGGACTGAGGGCTCCCCTTACTCAGCCCACAAAGGAACACACATGAGAGGGTTTAAGAAATCTCCTGGCTCTGGTACACACATACCTGGGAAACACTTTGGAAGAATGTTAAGAGAGATTTCAGGTAGCCATAGAAGTCCAGATAACTGGAGAAATTTCAGTCCAATGTGAGAAAAAAATGTTGATTGGTCAATTTAAATGCTTAAGTTTTTCATTAATTAAACTAAGTACTTGACTTATTAATAGAGCATTTTGATGAACTTTTTCTTTGATCCTGTTTAAAATTAATTTTTGAATCCTCTCCAATATTTACATTTTTGCTTATAATTTGTGCTTATCCCTATGCTTCTCTTTACCTAAAGAATGTAAGGAACAGACTCCATTTAAAACAAGTTGTACTGCCAATTTTTCACTTGGCCTCCATTATTTCTATGAGACGTATCTTGCATGTTTCATTCAGAATGCTACAAGTCTTAATAATTAAATAGTCATCTAAAGAATGTTTAGTTCAGTTAATTTCACTAGTCTGAATAAGTGTCATTTTTTTCTGTCATCTATATGGGTCACCTATTTTTATGCAGTTTAGGGAAAATATGTTTGAAATCATGTGACCTTGGCCAAATGACTTAAGGAGTGGTAGTTTTTACTATTATAACCACAGTCTTCCACAAACTAGCTAAAATGTACACCAATATGTTAATTTTCTCCTACCCTTACAGGCAACCAAAACTTATGGAAAAAACAAAATTATGACCAAACTCCTGGACCAAATGAGTTTTTATGTTCTTCCTGTGTTCACCATTGATGGATATATTTGGTCATGGACTCAGGTACTACTCTGTATTTACTGACTTTAATGCAGACTGATTGCTGTGCATTAAGTTTAAGGATTTTTTGTTTAAACTTTAATTTCAGTTAATTCCAATTCAGAAGAGTATGTTTTTTTAAAAAATCTCAATTTCAGACTGAAACAAGCATGACTTCCTAGTTGCAGAGGCTGACCTTGAAATAATATCGTTTTTTTCTGCACTTGAAGCTCGTAATGTGCAAAAGTGAAATAAAAGAGTAATTAAAAAGGAAATATGTTACAGGATATAGCAAAAGCATACTCTAGCTAAGAATAAAAGTCATTTAAAGACATTATGAACATACTGACTCCAAAGCAAAAGTCATAGTATTCCATCAACATGGGACAGAATTTGAGGTGGAACAACTGTATCAAAAAAAATATGCAAGAGTGACACAGATATCTGTTTATCTGTCTTTTTAAAGGATTCTTCATTGCCCTAGTGTTGCTAAATAAGATTAATATGGAACTTTCAGTATTATTAAATTTATACTATATAGTAATAACTGTATTATGATCATTACTATACTGTTATATTTATATATTATCATATCAAGTTCCTTTCTGAAAATTATGCTTCAACAGTCACAATTTAACTTGTATTATATCTGAATCTATAGATGGTGAAAGATAAAATGAAGTTATGATTTAAATTTTAGGTAACTTCAGAACATCATTGGTCATTTTCTATTACTGTGAACAAAACAACAGTTTTTAAAACTAACAGAACTTTTTTATCAAGATCTTAGAATGTTAATATAAAAAACAAAATTTCTGAAAATACTACAAGTTATAAGAAAACAATATAGTTTTCTTTATATGGGCCTCAGCTAAACTAGAAATATTTCAAATAACTGCTGAGAGGATCTGAAATGATCAAATTGAAAAATGCAAACTGATTTGGTGTAAACACTTCCATCATTCCATCACACAGAACCGCATGTGGAGAAAAATTGTTCTAAGAATCAAAACTCCAAATGCATCGGCACTGACCTCAATAGGAACTTTAATGCCTCATGGAACTGTGAGTAGCAGACTTGATCTCAAGGAAAACGGCTATAGAGTGCCTAGACACCAAATTGAGTTAAACTTTTTTCAGAGAAGATAGGTATTAACTGAATGAGTGTTAATGTTCTAATCTAAAAAGTGAAAGATAATCATCACTATCATAGAAGTATTATGGATATTTTGTTATGTGGGAGGAAGAGGGGTATGGGGTTGTTTATCAAACTATCCTTTACGTAATATATCTAGTTTGCTAAAAATCAGGCACATTCCAGACAGGCAAAAATTTAGATAATCTGAAGAGAAATCTCTGGTCCCGACTCTTCCTGGTCTGATAAAAGTTGAGAAATACCAGTGGTTAAAATGAACATATGGATAGTTCTTCAGATGTTTAGTGAAAAGAAACATCTGAGAAAAGGATTTAAGATGGCAGCGTGAGAGGTGAGACAGAGGCTTCCTCCAAAAACTGCATATAATACGAAAATATAATAAATACAACTAACCCTGAGAGAGCAACAGGAAAGAAGACTGCGCCAGACTGCATACACCTGGAGAAAAGAGCAGACCTCACGGAACAGGGTAACGTACCAGAGCTGTGGCCTGACAGGACCCAAGCCCCTCCCCCATGCCAGCTCACCTGCAGGAGGAAGAGAAACTGAACGAGGAGAGAGTGGAGGCCTGGGACTGCTGAATACCTGACTCCAGAGATCTGCTGCTCTGGGAGCACAAACCGACATTTCATGGTACTTTCATCATACTCTTGTGATTATGGGGTTGGAAAGCTGGGACAGATGGAGTTACTGGGGTGACTGGGATTCCAGTGCCTTGTGGAAAGCAGGGATCCATATCCAGCTGCTCTGGGACAAAACATTATACCTGTGTTTTTGGCCCACTGCTTCAGGCAGTGGAGGCATGCATAGCAGCCAGGAAGCAGGACTCTTTCCTACCCCCAGGCACCAATACCACTCCTCTGTGACCCCTGACATTGCTTCAGGGGCTGAGCACCTCCAGAGAGTAGAGCTTCTGGACACTAGAGGGTGCCATATACAAATATGAAATGCCAGAGGAACTTGGTCCAGAGTAAAATTATTAATACAACTCCAGAGAAAGATTTAAATGACATGGACATTGTGACTCTTCCTGAAAGGGAGTTAAAAATAAAAATCATCAACATGCTAATGGAGGTACAGAAAGATATCCAAGAACTCAAGAATGAATTCAGTGAGAGATCCAATCGTTGAAGAACACAATGTAGGGTATTAAAAGCAGGTTGAATATGGTGGAGGAGACGATAAATGAAATAGAAACCAGAGAAGAGGAATACAAAGAAGCTGAGACACAGAGAGAAAAAAGGATCTCTAAGAATGAAAGAATATTGAGAGAACTGTGTGACCAATCCAAACGGAACAATATTTGCATTACAGGGATACCAGAACAAGAAGAGAGAGAGAAAGGGATAGAAAATGTCTTTGAGGAGATAATTGCTGAAAACTTCCTCAATCTGGGGAAGAAGATAGTCCCTCAAGCCATGGAGGTGCACAGATCTCCCAACACAAGGGACCCAGGGAGGACAACACCAAGACATATAGTAATTAAAATGTAAAAGATCAAGGATAAAGACAGACTATTAAAAGCAGCCAGAGAGAGAAATAAGATCACATACAAAGGAAAGCCCATCAGGCTATCATCATACTTCTCAGCAGAAACCTTACAGGCCAGAAGGGAGTGGCATGATGTATTTAAAGCAATGAAGCAGAAAGGCCTGGAACCAAGATCACTTTACCTGGCAAAATTATCATTTAAATTTGAAGGAGAGACTAAACAATTTCCAGATAAGCAAAAGCTGAGAGAATTTACCTCCCACAAACCATCTCTACAGTATATTTTGGAGGGACTGCTATAGATGGAAGTGTTCCTAAGGTTTAATAGCTGTCACCAGAGGTAATAAAACCATAGTAAAGAAAGTAGAACAGCTAACTACTAAGCAAATGCAAAATTAAATTATCCCCAGAGTCAATTAAGGGAAAGACAAACAGTACAGAATATGATACCTAATATATAAAGAATGGAGGAGGAAGAAAAAGGAGGAGAAAAAGAAAAGAACCTTTAGATTGTGTTTGTAATAGCATATTAAGTGAGTTAAGTTAGACTCTTAGATAGTAAGGAAGTTAACCTTGTCCTTTGGTAACCATGAATCTAAAGTCTGCGATGGCAGTAAGTACATACCTATCAATAATCACCCTAAATGTAAATGGACTGAATGCACCAACCAAAAGACATAGAGTCATTGAATGGATAAAAAAACAAGGCCCATCTATATGCTGCCTACAAGAGACACACTTTAAACCCAAAGACATACACAGACTAAAAGTGAAGGGGTGGAAAAAGATATTTCATGCAACTAATAGAGAGAAAAAAGCAGGAGTTGCAGTACTTGTATCAGACAAAATAGACTTCAAAACAAAGAAAGTCACAAGACATAAAGAAGGACATTACATAATGATAAAGGCGATATAACCATTATAAATATCTATGCTCCCAACACAGGAGCACCTACATATGTGAAACAAATACTAACTGAATTAAAAAGGGAAATAGAATGCAATGCATTCATTCTAGGAGACTTCAACACTCCACTCACTCTGAATGACAGATCAACCAGACAGAAAATAAGTAAGGACACAGAGGCACTGAACAACACATTAGAACAGATGGACCTAATAGACATCAACAGATCTCTACACCCGAACACAGCAGAATACACATTCTTCTCAAGTGCACATGGAACATTTTCAAGAATAGATCATATACTAGGCCACAAAAAGAACCTCCATAAATTCAAAAAGATTGAAATTGTACCAACCAGTTTCTTAGACCACAAAGGTATGAAACTAGAAATAAATTATGCAAAGAAAGTGAAAAATCCCACAAACACATGAAGGCTTAACAATGTGCTCCTAAATAACCAATGGATCAATGACAAAATAAAAACAGATAAAGCAATATATGGAGACAATTGCCAACAACAATTCAACACCACAAAATATGTGGGATGTAGCCAAGGCCGTGCTAAGAGGAAAGTATATTGCAATACAGGCCACCTCAGAAAAGAAGAAAATTCCATATAAGCAGTCTAAACTCACAATTAATGAAACTAGAAAAAGAAGAACAAATGAGGCACAAAGTCAGTAGAAGGAGGGACATAATAAAGATTAGAGCAGAAATAAATAAAATTGAGAAGAATAAAACAATAGAAAGAATCAATGAAAACAAGAGCTGGTTCTTCAAGAAAATAAACAAAATAGAAAACCCCTAGCCAGACTTATCAAGAAAAAAAGAGAATCTACATTCATAAACAGAAGCAGAAATGAGAAAGGAAAAATCACTATGGACACCACAGAAATACAAAGAATTATTAGAGAATACTATGAAAAATTATATGCTAACAAACTGGATAACCTAGAAGAAATGGACAACTCTCTAGAAAAATACAACCTTACAAGGTTGACCAAGGATGAAAGAGAAAATCTGAACAGACCAATTACCAGCAATGAAATTGGTAATCAGAAAACTACCAAAGAACAAAACTCCTGGACCAAATGGCTTCACCACTGAATTTTATCAAACATTTAGTGAAGACCTAATACCCATCCTCCTTAAAGTTTTCCAAAGAGCAGAAGAAGAGGGAATGCTTCCAAACTCATTCTGTGAGGCCAGCATCACTCTAATATCAAAACCAGGCAAAGACACCACAAAAAAAGAAAATTACAGACTAATGTCCCTAATGAACATAGATGCAAAAATACTCAACAAAATATTAGCAAACCAAATTCAAAAATACATCAAAAAGATCATCCACCATGATCAAGTAGGATTTATTCCAGGAATGCAAGGATAGTAGAACATTCTAAAATCCATCAACGTCTCCCACCACATCAACAAAAAGAAGGAGAAAAACCACATGATCATCTCCATAGATGCTTAAAAAGCATTTGACAAAATTCAACATCCATACCCAAAATGGGTATAGAGGGCAAGTACCTCAACATAATAAAGGCCATATATGACAAAACCACAGCCAACATCATACTTAACAGCGAGAAGCTGAAAGCTTTTCCTTTAAGATCAAGAACAAGACAAGGATGCCCACTTTCCCCACTTCTATTCAACATAGTACTGGAGGTCCTAGCCATGGCAATCAGACAACACAAAGAAATAAAAGACATACAGATTGTCAAGGAAGAAGTCAAACTGTCCCTGTTTGCAGATGACATGATATTGTACATAAAAAACCCTAAAGAATCCACCCCTAAACTACTAGATCTAATATCTGAATTCAGCAAAGTTGCAGGATACAAAGTTAATACACAGAAATCTGTGGCATTCCTATGAACAATGAACTAACAGAGAGAGAAATCAGTAAAATAATTCCATTCACAATTGCATCAAAAAGAATACCTAGGAATAAACCTAACCAAGAAAGTGAAAGACCTATACCCTGAAAACTATAAGACACTCTTAAGAGAAATTAAAGAAGATACCAATAAATAGAAAAACATCCCGTGCTCATGGATAGAAAGAATTAATACTGTCAAAATGGCCATCCTGCCTAAAGCAATCTACAGATTCCATTCAATCCCTGTCAAAATACCAAAAGCATTCTTCAATGACCTGGAACAAATAGTTCTAAAATTCATGTGGAACCACAAAAGACCCCAAATAGCCAAAGCAATTCTGAGAAAGAATAAAGCTGGGGGGATTTTTCTCCCCAACTTCAAGCTCTACTACAAAGCCACAGTAATCCAGACAATTTGTTACTGGCACAAGAACAGACCCATACACCAATGGAACAGACTAGAGAGCCCAGATATAAACCCAACCATATATGGTCAATTAATATACAATAAAGGAGCAATGGGTATACAATGGGGAAATGACAGCCTCTTCAACAGCTGGTGTTGGCAAAACTGGACAGCTACATGTAAGAGAATGAAACTGAATTATTGTTTAACCCCATACACAAAAGTAAACTTGAAATGGATTAAAGACTTGAATGTAAGTCATGAAACCATAAAACTCTTAGAAGACAACATAGGCAAACATCTACTGAATATAAGCATGAGCAACTTCTTCCTGAATGCATCTCCTCGAGCAAGGGAAACAAAAGCAAAAATGAACTCATGGGAATACAGCAAACTAAAAAGTTTCTGTACAGCAAAGGACACCATCAACAGAACAAAAAGGCATCCTACAATATGGGAGAATATATTTGTAAATGACATATCCGACAAGGGGTTAACATCCAAAATATATAAAGAATTTAAACGCCTCAACACCCAAAAAGCAAATAACCTGATTAAAAAATGGGCAGAGGATTTGAAGAGATAGTTCTCCAAAGAAGAAATTCAGATGGCCAACAGACACATGAAAAGGTGCTCATCATCACTAATCATCAGGGAAATGCAAATTAAAACCACAATGAGATATCCCCTCACACCAGTAAGGATGGCCAGCATCGAAAGACTAAGAACAACAAATGCTGGCAAGGATGCAGAGAAAAAGGGAACCCACCTACACTGCTGGTGGGAATGTAAGCTAGTTCAACCATTGTGGAAAGCAACATGGAGGTTCCTCAAAAAACTAAAAATAGAAATACCATTTGACCCAGGAATCCCACTCCTTGGAATATAACCAAAGAATACAACTTCTCAGATTCAAAAAGACAGATGCACCCCTATGTTTATCGCATCACTTTTTACAATAGCCAAGATACGGAAGCAACCTAAGAGTCCGTCAGTAGATGAATGGATAAAGAAGATGTGGTACATATACACAATGGAATACTATTCGGCAGTAAGAAAGAAACAGATTCTACCATTTGCAATCACATGGATGGAGCTGGAGGACATTATGCTCAGTGAAATAAGCCAGGCAGAGAAAAAAGACAAATGCCAAAGTATTTCCCTCATTTATGGAGTATAACAATGAAGCAAAACTGAAGGAACAAAATAGCAGCAGACTCGGAGACTCCAAGAATGAACTATTGGTTACCAAAGAGGGGTGTGGAAGGGCAGGTGGGGAGGGAGGGAGAAGGGGATTCAGGGGTATTATGTTTAATACACTTGATGTGGGGGATCACACGGAGAACAGTGTAGCACAGAGAAGGCACATAGTGGATCTGTGGCATCTTGCTGCACTGATGGACAATGACTGCAATGGGGTATGGGTGGGGACTTGATAATATGCGTGAATGTAGTAACCACATTGTTTTTCATGTGAAACCTTCATCAGAGTGTATATCAATTATACCTTAATAAAAATAAGTAAAAAAAAAGAAAGAAAGAAAGAAAGAAACATCTGAGACAAAAAAACTGAAAAAAGTGTAATGGAAATGCAAAGATAGGCAGAGAGGCCTGTTATATCAGATGACCCTGTTATTGCTGCATAAATGACTTTATCTTTTTATACAGTCAAGGAGGAATTACCACTACCCCAATTCAAAAAATTTTTCTTTACACAAATTTGTTGAAAATACAGCCTCAGAATTTTACTCTATTCTACCATAACGAATATGGGAATAGCAGCTATCCCTCACTGAGAGCCGCCTGTTGAAACAGGTTGAAAAAACTCAGGCTCAAAGAAGGTGATTTACACCAGTCCCCAGTGAGTTAGAGCTGGGGTTGAATTGAAACGGATCTATCTGACTCCAGGCCCCAGGCTGCTTCTGATGTATTATTCCTGTGACCCTGGGAAATTTCACAAAGGAAAATAAACAAGGCTAAGAATAGTCCAGTGGGTTAAGTTTGTTCCACACTGAGTTGTGTGTACAAAGCTACTGCAGTGGCTATGACACCAGAGACACTGAGGCAGCCCTACAAGCCTGGGAGACTAAAGTGTTTAAAATATTTTGTGAATTCGCACCAGAAGAGGAAGGGGCTATACTGATGGAGAGAGTACTGTGATCTACCCATCCATGTCTTCTACAACATTTCCCAACACTAAGGACCCATGTGAGGATATCTATCGGGGCCATGTACCAGAGTCGGAGAGAGAGACGAAAGCTGTTACTGACTTCATTCGAAGCCACTTAAAATCACTCAAGGCCTATATCACCTTTCATTCCTACTCCCAGATGCTACTGTTTCCCTACGGATATACAACAGAACTGCCACCTAACCACGAGGACCCAGTATGTAGAAAGAAGTTTGTGGTTTATGCATTGACACCACCATGGACTTTCAGTCTGTTCTTCATTAACAATATGGGTTATGTTGAAAGAATTTCACATTTTAATACCAAAGAAAAGCAGTAATGAAGTTTTCTTTAGAGTTATAACCATAATCCTTCATTTTTCATGTGATAAAAGTATAGAGATGATGAAATATTTCTATGTGATTCTAAAATAAAACCAGTGGGAAGAAATGTCTAGACAATCCAGGGTAGAATTGCATCACTACCCAGATCATTATGTAGTTAAACATTTATTATGGGTCATATCATAAAACCACACACAGCAAAAGTCTAACAGAAGAGCAAAGATATCTGTGATTCTGTCCTTATGACACCAGGTTTAAGAGGATCCACTGGATTGTTACCCTGGTGACCAACTGGGAAATGATATTATTTTACTCTCTAAAGAAAGATGAATGTTGGAGAAGCTTCCTCACTAAACATAATCTTTCCAGAACTCTGATTCACTAAGCATACCTCTCCCTTTATATGAAAAATAATCCTGTTAGCTTTAAAAAAAAATCCCTCCACATACTGAGTCCAGTGAATCACAAGAACTGGCAATGTGAATGAATGAGTATCCATAAAAAGGAATAAACATAAAGAAATAATCAATCCTCCCATGTTTCCTTCATATGCTACATCTATAGCTTTTCTTCTTCCTTCCTAATTACAACCCTTAAATAGAATTCGTGCCTCATATCGAATTTACCAAGTATCATAATTCCTCCAGGTGGTAAAGATACCTCGAGACAAGTGCTGGGCATAGAAGCCACAGGGCATAAATCTGCAAAGAAGTAAAAAGCTAACCTTTTCAAACAATATGGCTTCTCTCTCACTTACCAACTTTACATTTCCCTGTATGGCCCCGGAAGATGACTGGTTAGCCAGAGACGGGTAAGATTCCTCAAGGGAGGAACAACCTAAGACAGGCACAGTCGCAGGGGGGCCATCAGGTGAGAATTTGGGGATCAACAGAGGTGAGGCTCAGAACCTCACCCCCCCTGCTTTGAGAGAAATCTTCTGCATCCGTGGATGTCTTGCTGCCCTTGTCTAGCCTGGATTAATACTTAGTCCATAGGCACACACCTGATCATCTGATCATCTACATTTGCCTTCTTACAGCACTAAACTATGTTTTCTACCTTTATCTTGCATCTACCTACCACTTCAGCATTTTATTAAAAATAAAAATAATAATAATAATAGGAGAAATGTGGGATCAACATATAAATCAAGTACAAAAATCAAACGAATATTCATATTTGACCTGATTGTTTATAGGTCATAATGCATGATCAAAACTGAAAGTTTCTGTGATGAATGCCCTTGTACTGTTCACCATGTAAGAATTTATTCACTGTGCAAGAATTCGTTCACCATGTAAGAACTTGTTTGTTATGCTTCAGAAGATTGGAGACTGACGAGAGTTGGGCTTGAGATGGATTAATGATTGTACATTGAGCATTGACCCCCCTATACTGAATTTTATTGTTGTTAACAACCATTTGATCAATAAATATGAGAGATGCCCCCTCAAAAAAAAAAAAAAGGAATAAACATGTTTAATTGCTGTAAAAAAAAGAAAGAAAGAAAGCTGATAAAGTTCTCTATCCCAGATCCCATGTGGGCTGACAAATGTAACATACTCAGTAAAAGATGTTGTTCAAATGCTACCTCATCAAATTTTTAATTTTTATAAAGAGGTCACAATTGTCATTCTCACTTCAGTCAACTGTATTCAGCACAACTGCATTTCATTTGAGTTGGGGCAGAGATTTGAACCAGTCATTAAAATAATTTATGTGTATACAACAAAGAAAATATATAAGCAATAGGTAGCCCACAGAGTCATCTATTTAACCAATCTGGTTGAGAATCTGAACCCATGAGTTTGATTAATTTATGCAAAGATATAGCAATGCAATTTCAATCTGCCTTAGGAAAATGGTATTATGGATTAAAAATTAAAAATATACTCAATCCACTTTGAGTAAAGTAAAAGCTGTTACTCAGCAACTAAAATGAGTAAGAAAAAATTATTTCTTTGTTACATGTTTTACATATGGACTAAAATTAAAATCTTCATTTAGAGTACAAATATGATAGTGACTATATTCCATTACAGCTCATTCCACTAATCATTCCCAACAAAAAACACTAATATGTATTAAAGGTCATGAAATGCCACTCTGGAAGAGAAACTCTAACTGAACTATTTTTAAAAGAAGCCAACCGCCTTTCTGCCTTTGGCATGCTAAAATGAGATGCGGAGAAAGTCCTACAGCAATGCGGACCATATAAAGAAAAAGAAAGGAGTAACATGGGAAAAATGGACTTTGGAAAAGACAACTACCTGAAGCCAAAAACAATCTGAGAGGAAGAAGAAAGAATATGTTTTTTAGGAGGAAGGAAGGGAGGAGAGAAAAGAAAGGGTAGAAACACAAAATGAGACAAGATATTACTGTTTATAACGGATATCACATTTAGATCTTCACAATGACAATATTTCTTATTGAAAATAAATTTCTCATTTAACCATGTATTTGGATCTTCAAATGCAAAGAAAACTGGTAACACTGACTTTTTTTTATCTCCAGTAAATTAATGGCATTTACATAGCATACTATTATTCCACTCTAACTTCCCTTTCTCTCCAGGCCAAAGTTGCAAAGATTGGCACTGATGTTCTATCAACTCGATATGAAAGCCACTACATCTATGGCCCAATAGCAACAACAATTTGTAAGTCTTTCCTTACTTACTGTGTCATTTACTCTAATTCTTTTTTATAAATATTGAAGAAAAATATAGAATTTATAAATTAGGATTAAACACCTGGAATTTGAACTTTAGTTTTAACAGGTAATTCTGAATTAATATGTGAATCTAGGGCACAGATTCTGCCCTTTTGGGGAGTAAGATTTTCCTAAAAAAAAATTATACTGAACTTTTATAAGGTTACAAGGTCAACATTAAGTTATTAAATCAAGATGAATTGACAGTTGAATTCATCCACCTTCCTGTTCCCCATGACCAACAATATTTTATCCTCACAGCAACTAACAAGAGTCACTTTGGGCAGAATCGATACTTTTTGTTTAAACCATTTAACCTAATTGGACTTTTCCTTCCTTGGCCTAGTCCCCATGCAAGCAGTCTTTCCTGAGTCCCTGGTGGAAAAATGGTAGACCAGTAGTTTCAGCCCTGTCAAACCAGCTTCCTGTCCCTCGGACCAGCCCTTTCCTACTGTGTTCAACTGAAATGTACATAGTAAATTAAGAAAGGAGGTCATAAGGTTCTAGCTTTGTTGCTTTGTTTCAGTGTCTCAGCACTACTTCTCACTTTTCACTATTTTTACACTGTCTTTGTGTGTTTTGAAACATTGACTTAGATTTCTTACAAGTCAGGCACTGCTTAGCTCTTGATTTTCACAATCTCAGTTAATACTCACAAGACCCTATGAGGTGGGCAGTGCTCGCAACTAGTTAAACTGGGTTCAGTCCCAGGTTTTTTAACAAAACCAACACCCATGATCTTGACCACTGTGCATACTGCTTTCCCATCTGGTTTTCTAACTGGCCTTTTCTATTTTGATGCAATGAAAAGAAATTCATCTGATTTTCACCAAAGACCATTAATTCACACCTTGGGAAATGAGATCATTTATGCTCTTATAGCAAGATTACACTGATCTTAGTTTGGAAATACTATAGTAAAAAATCACCTTTTCTCCAAACCATTTCTGAGCTTCAGTTCTTAGGCCCAAACCTTACAGAAAATTCCCAACGAAACTGCTTACAAAACCTTAACTTCCTAAGAAAATTTAATTCCTCAAAGGCAATTCTTTCTGATTTCCTCTCAGATATAATAATATCTAGCACAGTGCAAGACACAGAATAACACCAGAACTAAAATCCATAAACTTGCTCAATGAAAATGGTGCCCTGATTTATCCAAAAGAGGGAATATGGATTGAAACCGCAGACTAGACTTGATTTAGCCTGCATCACTGTCTAGAGCCATGATATCCAATATTTTTGGCATGTTGCTATTTCACTTTTGAACATTTCATGAACAACCCACCCTCACCAAATACACATGCTCATATTCATTATGCATTTAGAATTTGTTGGATAAGAAAAATATATGTGCATATGAATCCATGGATTCCTTGTAACACCCTACCTGGCCATACCTTATAAATCACTTCCAAATCTATGCTAAAAGTATATACTTGGAACTGCAAGTCTATACCCTTAACAACTATTATAGAATTTGAAAATGCCACAGTTATCACATATAGCTTCTAGAGCCCACTTATCGGAAGCTTCTTTGGTGGTGTTAAAAAAATGACTCAAAAAAAAAA